ATTTTGTAATGCGGACCTCGATGAGAACACCTAAACAAAGTGCAAGCCAAGACAAAAGTCAATTCAAACGATGACTACTTGTTTTACGCAACGATTATGAACACAGTTTTATTTTTATTTGAAAACACAATTTGAACTGGCGATATCCTTATTTTGAAATGGGGAAATGTCAACGGGTGCCAGTTCTTATTGAAAACCCTGAATATTGTATTGTAACAAAATTTACATTTTTAAATGAAAACTTAACACATATCGTGCATATAACAGAACTGGACTTCATAAAAAGCTTGAAAAATTCAACCAAATTTAGAAATGTCTGCTTAGCGGGACTAATGTCCCTTTGTGTAAGATCGAAACATGGTTATTGATCCGTCAATCTGAAAGAATTATAATGAACCGGGAACAAAGTCTGAGGTTCGTATACTGTAAATTCAGAAAATAATGGTCAATGTTAGTATGATGCTTCTGCATACAAAGTTTTGTCAATCTAAGTGCTACAGTACATAATTTATGCACCAAACACAAATCAGACAATGTCTTACTATCATAGGGGTCAAAGGTCAAATTCAAGGCCAGAGTAAACTGACTTGGAAAAATGACACATCCCATCCTATGATATATCAGCATACTAAGTTTGGTCAATTTAAGTTCTATGGTACAAAAGTTATAATGAGGACACAAATTATTAGACAAGGTGTCAAAGGTTAGAGTGACACACCCCAAACCCATGATGCAACTGCATATCAAGATTGTTTAACCTACGTTTAACAGTACATAAGATATGAGCAGGACATGAATTGGATAAGGTTTTACTATCATACGATTCATAGTGGTCAAAGGTCAAAGTCAAGGTCATAGTGTCCTGACTTTAGTATGTGACACATCCCCATCCCATGATGCAACTGCATACTAAGTTTGGTTTGCGTTGGGTATAATTATTCTGTGATAGCATTAGGCTTCTTTCCACCCTTAAATTGTTTCAGCAGCTTGAAGTAAAAAATTACAAAAAATGACTACATACACAACAAACCGTTATCAGCATTATAAAGTCTGCAATGATACATTATCTGCACCCCCTTTTCGCCACCAGGAATTCAGGAGAAAATTTTTTTTTCTTTTGTTAAAAAAGTCTTTGGAAACTATAGTAATTTCAAAGGTTGTGTGATCGTTTGCGGATTTGTCATGGAATAAGCCATTTTCCATCCTCAATTAGAAGTTGAAAATGCTTGTAAATGATACTAGAACACTTCACGAGTGTTAAAATAAGCCAAAATCACAAGAAAAACACTTATAAAAGTTGTTTTGATATTAACCAGATATCGTAATAGAACGTGTAAATCGCAAACAGAGAGTGTGCAGAAAATTCATACTTAATAAATATCACTAAAGAATACGACCATGAAACTAAAACTGTTCCATCCTTTAGTGAAATACGGTCAGATCTAGACATATTCATCACATTAATGTTTGATTGATTGATTGATTGTTGGTTGCTTTACGCCGCATTAGCACAACAAGGCTATATCGCGGCGAGCATTAATGTTTGAAGGACCTTTAGCTAAAAGCAGTGTGAAACACCAAAACAGAATGAATTAACAATAACATTTTGTATTTTAAACATTGTTATGTTTATAATACTGGTTCCTGGCTGACTTCTTTACTTATTTCAAATAAAATGCTCCGCTGGGGCGCAGCTTGATACGACCGCAGAGGTCGAACCCTGAACAGTTGGGGCAAGTATGGACACAACATTCAAGCTTGATACAGCACTGAATTTGGATTGTAATTAAATATTTGACACAGCATGTGAGGTTTCTGACACAGAATGAAAGTGGTCTAAGAACTTAAAAATTTTCAATTTACCTATTCATACATGTGATGGACTTTGAAACTCAGATCAGGAGATTGGGAAATTTTGGTCAGGAGATTAGGACTCACATCAGGAGGTTTTTAATCGACATTAATTTTGTTGTAAATGTAACCGTGTGCTGTAAAAATGGTCTTTTAAAGTGTGTTTTCTTCAACTTTCCATCCAATTTATTATGTTTATAGTACCCTTGTACTTATAAAGTTTCTCCATCTTTATATTCTACATGTTCAATCTAACATTGTTTTTTTCCAGTATGTTCTTTAAATTTTTTACTTCATATTCTATAAAACAATCATTGCAACCAGAACATTTGTTTAGCTATCTGCAAATATGTTTTTTTTGTTTTTTTTTTCTCTTGCAAATAGTTTTTATTTGCAAACTCAGAAAATCATTCAATCTGTAAAATTAGGGTCATAGTTATTATATAAATTTCAATTTAAGCCTTGAAAGGAAGTATAGAATCCTCAAATAATTTTCAAATTATTATTTTTTTATTTGTCCTAAGACATTTAAAATCATTTAATAACCATCCTTTTATGATTATTTGTTCAATTTATATTTTATTTATATTCTTTTAAAAATTTTCATTATTAAAAGGAAAGTAACTTAAAACAGGATAAATCAAGGGAAGTAACCCAATAAATACACAGTTTTTGTTACACAACGGCAGTTAGCCTGAGGTAAAAATCGTTGATTACCAGTATGTTTGACACCCAAGCTGACAAGTGAAGCCATATAATTATGCATGTTAATTGATTTACAGGTAAAATATAACTTCAGGTAATGTCAGTTACACCAGATGCCTGAGATGATATGTTGGGCAGAAATTTTTCATTCATGAAAAATTTCAACACAGGATTTTTTCCTCTTCAACGGGAGGTCGGGAGGAGACCCCTGAAAACGGGGTTATTGTACTCCCGTCGGGAGGTTCACATGTATGCCTATTCAAACCATATCATTATTATTTGCTTTTATATATAAATCAGAAATAACCAATTTAAAATGGAAAATGTTAAAGAAAAAAAAGGAAAAAAAAAATCCCCCCCCCCAATTTTTTGAACCCCCTTATGATTCATCACCCCCAAACTCAATCCCAGCTTTCCCTTTGTGGTATGGTACCTTGCAGTACAATTTCAGAGAGATTCATACACTTGAACACAAGTTATTGTCTGGAAACTAGAAAAATGCTTGTTTTCTGGCCCCTTTTTGGCCCCAAATTCCTAAACGTTTAGGGCAATTACCCCCAAACTCAATTCCAGATTTCCCTTTGTGATATGGAACCTTGCAGTACAATTTCATAAAGATCCATACACTTGAACACAAGTTATTGTCATGAAACTATAAAAATGCTTGTTTTTTGCCCCATTTTGGCCCCTAATTCCTAAAATTTGGAGGAAATTACCCCAAAAATCAATCCCAGTATTCCCTTTGTGATATGGAACCTTGTAGTACAATTTCATAAAGATCCATACAATTACAAACAAGTTATTGTCATGAAACTAGAAAAATGCTTGTTTTTTGCCCCTTTTTGGCCCCTAATTCCTAAAATTTGGAGGCAATTACCCCCAAAATCAATCCCAGCATTCCCTTTGTGATATGGAACCTTGTGGTACAATGTCAGAGAGATCCATACACTTACACACAAGTTATGTCTGGAAGTTACAAAAATGCTTATTTTTGGCCCCTTTTGGCCCCTAATTCCTTAACTGTTAGTACCATAACCCCCAAAATCAATCCCCACCTTCCTTTTGTGGTATTGAACCTTATGGTAAAATTTCATTGAGATCCATTCACTTAAACTAAAGTTAGAGTGCGAAAACTAATGTGTATTCGGACGACGACGCCGGACGACAACGACGACGCCGGACGACGACGACGACGACGACGCCAACGTCATACCAATATACGACCACAAAAATTTTTTTGCGGCCGTATAAAAATTGTTAACAAGTAGATTCCAGTTTCACCTATGCAATGCTATGAAAAGAAATGAGAAATTTGTAAAGAAGCATTTGATTTTGATACATATCAGTTAATATGGGATTTTTAAATAATAAACTGTTAACACAGAGATATGTCTCGCCTTTTTGTTATTTTGATAATAAAATGCAAATGTTGAAATTAAAATAGCAATACTTATTTATGCAAAATAGTCACAAAGTCAATGATCCATGACTGAGTGAAGGTACAGAGCCAAACAATCTCCATAGAAATGAGATGTGCCAATGCTAATACAACTGCATATCAAACATCATTGACCTACCACTAGTGCTTCCTCATTAACAGACCTAATCACAAACTAATACATGAAAACTAAGTAAAAGTTTCAAAGTCAATAGACCATAAATGAGGGGACAGGGCTAAATGATCTCCATGGAAATGAGATTGATTGATTGATTGTTGGTTGCTTAACATCCAGTGGCAAATATTTCATTCATGTTCAGAACGATGGAAATGAGATGTGCCAATGCTAATACAACTGCATACTAAATATCATTGACCTACCACCAGTGGTTCCCAATAAACTGACCTAATCACAAACTAATAAATGAACACTAATTAAAAGTTTCATGACTGAGGGGGCGGAGCCAAATAATCTCCATGGAAATATGATATGCTTATACAACTGCTTACCAAATATTATTGACCTACCACTAGTTGTTCCCCATAAACTTACTAAATCAGAAACTAATACATTGTTTATGCTGCAGCTGCCGACGACACCGGAAACAGCATATCTATGTCTCATTTTTGACTCTGTGGAGGGGAGACAAAAATTGCATATTTATATGGATTAGGTAAATTAATAGTTTTTAAAAGAATTAAGGCGCCCTCTTCAGTTTCAATAACAAACATGGCGGACGTCAACATCAAGTTTTTCTCGTATTTCTTGCTTATAGTACTCTATAATCCACACCCCTGTCTGGTAATCTTAATTTTGGAGTAAAAAACTGTGGACAAATACACGACTGAATTCGGTAAGAGTATATAGAATTGCAAGACAAGAAATGTCTTTACATTGCTACAATCTTTACAAAAAAAAAGACTTGCAAAGATTTCCTTAGCTTTTGCAATGCCAGTACAAAGTAATATTTGTATACATCTATCAACAACCATATCAATATCTAACCTATTTCATGAGGTAGTTCATGACAGAATATAGCAATAGTTGTACTCAATCCTCCTGTTAAACTATCTGCAAAAGCTGCACCTATAGCTAAACCATCAGAAAAGTTGTGGATTCCATCACCAATAATGACCATCCAAGCAATAGCAGCCACTGTCTTGGGTACTTTGTGACAGTGGCTATGACCATGACCACCATGCGAATGACTTAGTACTAGCGTTGGCTCTTCCTCTTCTGTAGGCTTCTTGCAGTTGACATGATTGTCTTCATCACTCATATCATCCAGCTTGTGACAGTCTGCATTGTGAGATTCTTCAGCATAATTCTTCAAAGCTGAAATAAAAATATCCAGTTGAAAAGAAACAATTTTGACATAATAGAAATTTTTAAAAAATCTTGACGCACAGATCTGTCTTGACTGCATGTAATTTTGATAGTAAATTGCAGAAAAAACAATATAGGGAGTTGGAAGGCACTTTTTTTTTATGGCTGTCACCCAAACAATTACATTTTACTTGGCAAGCATATATAACACAAATTGAAATTCGTCACCTGCACCCACTCATACAAAAATAATTCAAGTGCCGTCCAAACCCCACTATTTTTTTTTTCTGAAATAGCCCTTACTATTAGTGATTCTATTTAACTGACCTAATCACAAACTTTAACATACATGTAAACTACTCAAAAGTTTCAAAGTCAATCATCATATTTGAGGGGCTGTGCAATACATAACTACTTGGAAATTATTTATAACTGGTTGATGGTATTTAACGCCAACTGCAGCACTATATATATATATTGTGGTGGTCAGTTTTTATTGGTGGAGTGTCCTGTGAGAACCACAGACTTCAGGAGGAAAAAAGACCATCCTAGTCAATTAAAGTTAGAGTCAAATGCACCTACCACTTGCAGGATTCAAACTCACAAACATAGACTGAATCTAAACTGACATCTAAGTCAACAGAGTCTTGAATCACTATGTCTCACTTGGGCAACATAAAAGTTTCAGGCTTGACAATAAAAATAGGATGTCTTTTAGAATTACTTCTCTAAGGAACATGCGATGACAGGTCCAACCAAGATCAATATGATTTTGCAAATTAGACACTGACTTCTACAAGAGATGCAATGGCTTGCAGTTGTGTGAGAGTATGTGAACCTGTGTAGAGTGGAAGTTAACACCAACATACCTTTGTGTCCAGGATGAATGCCCATTATCATATCTTCACAATCAGGTTGATTGATTTTTCTCGTTTGTCCTATAAAACTGGTGTGTTGTTCCTTACTACATACTGTCTTGTTATTTGTGTTTTTAGATTTACCCTATAAGTTAAAAAAAGAAAAAAAGACATGGAAAGTTTTTTTTAACTCAATAATATATGTATGTATACAAGCTCTACATCGACAGTATGACCATATCAATTATATTTCATGTTATTTGACCAATCAAGCTATTTTGAACAAAACTAGAGTGTAAAGATATTTTCAATTTTAATGTTACCTCTAAGAGCTAGTTATCTTTCACATTGAATCATTTTAAAACTAATAAATTGCTTCGCTGAGCACAGCTGGATACGACCGCAGAGGTCCAACCCTGAACAGTTGGGGCAAAATTGGACACAATATTCGCACTTGATACAGGTCTGAATTTGGATTGTAATTAAATATTTGACACATAATAGGTTTCTGACACAGAATAACTGTAGTCAAAGAACTTAGAATTGGATATATGATTTGAATTTATATTCAAATTTTTGCTTTTGTGCAATACACCATGCTGTTGCGAATTGAACCCTCTTTCGATTTATAAAGGGGCATAACTCAATAATGGTTAAAGTGACACTACCCAAATTCAACTTGATCTGTGTTTTATCAGTGGAAGTCAAAATTAAACATTGCATTGTATAAAGCATTGATTGTAGTTGATTCAACTATATAATCATGGACAAAGAAAGATAACTCCAATTTAAAAAATTACTTGATATTTAAAAGAAAATAAAAATTTTGCAACTTTTCCATTTATAAAGGGGCATAACTCTAGAACGGTTAAAGTGACGCCACCAAAACTCAAACTTGACCTGTGTTTTGTGGTAATAAGCATTGTGTATAAGTTTCATAACATTTGGTTGAGGCAAACTTGTTAGAGAATGGAAACTAAAAATTTTGCAATTTTTCCATTTATAAAGGGGCATAACTCTAGAACGGTTAAAGTGACGCCACCAAAATTCATACTTGATCTGTGTTTTGTGGTAATAAGCATTGTGTATAAGTTTCATAACATTTGGTTGAGGCAAACTTGTTAGAGAACGGAAACTAAAAATTTTGCAATTTTTCCATTTATAAAGGGGCATAACTCTAGAACGGTTAAAGTGACGCGACCAAAATTCAAACTTGATCTGTGTTTTGTGGTAATAAGCATTGTGTATAAGTTTCATAACATTTGGTTGAGGCAAACTTGTTAGAGAACGGAAACTAAAAATTTTGCAATTTTTCCATTTATAAAGGGGCATAACTCTAGAACGGTTGAAGTGATGCCACCAAAATTCAAACTTGATCTGTGTGTTGTGGTAATAAGCATTGTGTATAAGTTTGATAACATTTGGTTGAGGCAAACTCAAGTTAGAGAACGGAAACCAATTTTGGGACGTACGTACAGGCGGACAAGGTTAAAACTTAATGCCCCCACCGCTACGGCGGGGGCATAAAAAAACTTCTATGTTTGTAAAATGTGACACAATTTTATTGGTCAAATACCAACTGACACAGTTCATAAACATTACTAACACATACAGGATTGCAACATGTTGCTTACATCTTACCAAATTCAGGCTTTCCCTATGTGCTCAGTACACAAAATTTATTTCCAAATTTTTTGGGGGATTGGCAAAACTGCTAGAAGTGCTAGACAGATTATTTTTTTTACCAAATCAGGGTCAGGATATTTTTTGTAAAAATATCCCAGTCAGTTTTCACTCTATATGTCACCAATTAAAGGTATTTATAAACACATATTATTTTGATCAGTGCAATGCATCCCGGGTATAACAATGACATATCCTATGATTAGATTACAAACGCCAATAGTTTCTGTCAGGAAGACTATTCTTTTGGGTGTCATATTGAGTGGTGGTATTTCGTCTGTGACACGCTTCAAAAAGATTTAAGATCTTAATATCGCCTTACAACAAAACTATGTATCTTCAAATTATGAACCAAAGTATATTTCGCGGGTATTTTCTAGTCAAATATAAACTGATAAATTACAAAATTAAATGCTTCATTACAAATTTCTGGTTTCTTTTCACTGCATTGCATAAAATAATCTGGGATCCGCTTGAATTTAACGGAAAGAAAAAAGTGTATAAGTCAGCCGGGAACCAGCTTATGCATTACAATATTCTACAAAATGTAATCGGTTTTTCGTTCCTTTTTGATGTTTCATACTGATGCATGTGTTTTGTTTTAGCATAAGATCCTTCAAACATTTATGTGATGGATATGTTAAACATTATTTTAAATAAGGATGGAACTGTTTTACTTTCAAAGTCGTATTCTAGTGATATCTATTAAGTACAGACTTTCCGTACACTCTCACCGTATCTATTTTCATTTAAACATGCTATTCAAACTTCCGGTTTAAACAAACACAATTTTCTCAATTGTTTTTTGGGATTTTGACTTATTTTCTCACTCGTGAAATGTTCTAGAATCATTTACAAGCATTTTCAACTTCTATTTGGTGATGGAAAACAGGTTTTTCCCAAGAAAATACCCCAAACGATCACACAAGATTTGAAATTACCCGAGTTTCATTAGATGTTTTCGAACAGTTACAAAAAGTTTTTTTACCTAAATTCTCATGGCGAGAAGGGGGGTGCGGACAATGTACCAGTGCGAACTATACAAAGCCGATTATGGTTACTACAGAACAATCTTGAGGTCTACAAGGATGAAATTCTTTCTCCGTTCAATTGGTAAATATGTAACCATGGTAACCTACCTTTTTTCTTTTCTGTTTTTCTTGTGTATGTATTGTCAAGAGTCTTTCTATCAGAAAAAAGAAATAGATTCCTAAAAGTCCACACAACCCTTTCAATACAGATGACATATGCTGTGAGTTGTCATGGTGATCATGTTCACCATGCGAGGAATGTCCACTTTCGAATGCCTGAAATTTATGTCGAACATAAATATATACATGTTAGACAATGTCAATGGTTTAATATCAACATAGTGTAGTTGAAGTACTGTCCCACCGATCCAAAAAGCGTTCACAAGTTACAAGTCATCATTGTTAAGCTGATGACTAAATATGCAGTAATTCTGGTTACTAGTCCTTGAGAAATATGTGTAGAAAAAGCCTTCCTTTTTGTAGTCCAATGGTAAATTATTCCTGTTTAGTCCACTTTACCGTAGCCAAGTAAAGTTTTAAAGATTTGCCATAGGGCTGAATGGGCATGCAATATTATCTCAAGTCTCACCACTTTGCCTCAATAATCAAAGTGTATTCATTTGGAACTTAAAAATTAAACATTTCATTGTAATTAAGCATTGGAAGGAAATACTGTGAATTGGTTCAACTACAATGCTGTACACAGGAAGTTACTCCAATTGGTCCAACTACCATGCTGTACAGAGGAAGTTACTCCAATTTTAAATATTTCTTTAACAATGACACCATTGATACTTTTAGATCAGATACTGGATTCATGCAACATGCACAATTTATGTAATTTTCTTGACAAAGATGGTTATACAAATACACACCATTTTGTAATTTGAATATCTGAGTAAATGATTCATTGATAATTTCTTAAAATGTTCATGGATAGGATGTGTATAATCATGATAATGTTGTGCACTATGTTTTATTTATCTCAAAAGTAGTGGTAAAGTCAAAGGGAAGTCTGGAAGTATAATAACTATCAAGCTAGCAACATAAGGTTTTCAATTCATGAATGCAATCTTTACCCTAAAATCTTACACATTGTAGAAAGTCTGTAAACCAAATAAACCATTCTTTTGAATTTTGAAAGACTTGAATTTTATTTTTCAGAAAGGGAGAAAGTTGAAAATTCACCAATCAAAATCAAATACAATCATGACAAAGGTCAAGTTACAGAAAATGTGTAATGTCACAGATTTTTGTCAAATTTTGCATATAGCTGTTGTTTGATGTATTAATCTCTTTTATTTTCTGAAACATTATTGAATACATCCTTTCAAAAAAGATGTATAATTGTTTAAAATAACATTAACTCTGTGAATATGGTGAATACCATTCTTAAATTCGTCTTAAAATCATCAAATCTCCAATAACTAATGCATAGAACTTTACTTAAAATTTTGATAAATAATCTTCTGTTTGATTAATATAAAACAATCATAGGCTCAAAGACCTCAGGGGCGGATCCAGAACCTCGATGTCTGGGGGCACCACGAAACCAAAATTAAAAGATTTTTTTTATATATGCATATGTGCGAGTTTGGGTGGTGTTGGTGTCATGTATTGGGGATGATGGTGGTCGTTTTAGGGATGGGGTAGGGGGTCGGGTCTTCATTTTTATATCTTTTCATTATTTTTGGGTCAATTTCTTTCTATTCTTTTATTTGCTGCCAATTGTCCTCTATTCTTTACAGTTCATCACAGCTTTAATCTGTTTTCTATATTTTTGGGGCCCATTTTTTTCTAGCCTTAACTTTTTGACAATTATTCTCTAATCTGTAAACCCCCCTTCATACCCTCATTTACGGTAGCATATTCATACCCTCATACATGGTATTTAAAACAAGAAAAATATACACATATTACTGTACTATAATAGAAAAAGAAAGGATATGGGGTATCCATCCGTGACACAAAATCAGTACATGCACAGCAAAAAAAACACATAATAAGCTTTTATTGCTGTTCTTCATCTCAAATATAAGTAGGTTTTCTAAGTTACAATATCATTTTATTAATGATTATATATAAGGCACAGACCATTCATGTTTGTGGAAGGTTTTGTTTCCATAAAAAAAATAAGTGAAAAAAACACGATATTCAGTTTAAAAAAAATGCTGTATGCATTGAAAAAAATCGTTTGTTGTTTAATAAAGTCCGAAAAAGACTATTCTGAGAAAGGCACATTCCCCAGAAACAGTATACAATGTGAGTGTTTGGAATAAAAGACGTATCTTATATCGATACTAACATTCCTGACACTAAACATCTATTTTTACATATTCTTTTAAGACCGATTTTAGTTGGTAATTTCTTTTCTGATCAAAAGATTTCACTTGTTAATCGATCTTGATCCTGTAATATTGTATAAGAAACCAATAAATATATTCGTATTAATTCCAATCAGCATGTACATGTACATATAGTTTACATAAATGCTTTTGGATATAGACATTACACAAAGGTGTCAATATTTACACACCCATCGATAAGTTGTCATAAATCACACATGTTGAAGCTGGGGTCAATTAACGACCAGTTTAGGAAGTCAAATCAAGCTGTGTCTTGATTTTCGATCTAGATAAGCAGATACAGTAGCAATAGCTTATGTTAGAAAATTTTTTGGTGACCCCAACTGGGGGGGCACGTGTACCCTGCCCCCCCCCCCCCCCCCCCCCCCCTGGTAAATCCGCCACTGGACCTCGTTTTTGATATATAAACCAATCTGTTCCCAACTTGCTAGTGAAAAACATCAATCAAAGTGAACAAAAACAATGGTGGAAAGACAGGAAGAGTAGTTTGAATAATTTCAAATCATATAAATTTATGGTGTGGAAAAAAAACCCTTGATATAGCACTATTGAAGACAATGGCATTTACTGCAGCTCAGTAGAAAGATAAGAATTTTTCAGAGGATAAATGAGCTAGATGTGAGTCACTGATTGTGGGTCCCTTAACTTCAAACTTTATAAATTTTATTAAAACAATCTTTCTTTGGTAATTTCTTCTGTTTCTAAAGATGAAAACATAAAACATGAAACCGGGAACATTATTTGATTAAAATATCAAAGTGCAATTTCAATAAAGTTGTTATGCAAATTAAGAGAGTCACTGTCATTAGCTAATCTTATCCTTTGAAAAAATTCTAACTGGTTGACGTTTCGCCTGTCTGCAAGCAACAATTTACATACAGAAAATCAACACTAAAGTACAAAGCTTGGTAAATTAAATTGATGTCACAATGTATGTTGCTCTGGTGAGAGAAATAAAAAAAGCAAAGTAGAGAGCTATATATATATATATATATACAGCAGATAGATATGAAATATAAACTCAACTTGAGTTCGTTTTTGTTATATATGACGCATGACATTGTTTTGAAGCTTGATACATGTATCTAATGGACAAACTTCCCATGGTCCCTACAACTTGCCAAGTTTAATCCAGTGTAAGCATGGTAAGAGGGTATTGCTTTCTGGCGCATTGACAGACACACTACCATTTTACTCTCCATAACTTTAATGTTTGGGGGTATATCAAATACTAACAAATAAACCTACATGAGGAATGAGATGTAACATAGCATCCCCAGAGAGGGCTCCAACAGCTAACGCTACTAAAAACTGTAACAGGTGATTATAGAACACTTTCTGCATGATAGGAATAACAGTTACACCAAGTAGTCCTACTAAACTGATGACAGTCACTGACAGACAGCTGAATCCCCATACTGAAATACAATTACATTTAGTGTGTACTAGTCAATTCATTTAACTACATTGGGGCGAAAAATAAAATTTAAATTGTTTGATGTTGCCTACCAAGTTGTAACTTATGATGTTGGCCAAATAAAATAAAAAAATCTCTACCTACCTACCCAACCCTACAAGGCATGGGTAGGCAACACCAAACAAAACAAAAGTTCAAGGGTGGCCTGGTCAATTATTATTTATTGGTGTGTAAACAGTTTTACTTTTGAGATATTTAAATTCTTCGCTTTACCAGTGGTTACTAACAACACACATCACAATCGACCTATTTCATTCTATTTTCTCCGAATTTAAATTTCGTTATTTGACAAGTGTGCTGTTGTAAATTTTTAGTCTAAGTGGGTAGGTGTAGTGTTTCAGCGCAATAACCTTCTTGATTTTGTCTTAAAAATGATGATCTTTAGTAAAAAGTTCTTATTTTTCTTTAAATATAAGCAAAAATTGTCATTTTTTAAACAGCCAATTAATTTATAAGCTAACAAGTAGTCAATATATGATCATCTTGCAACGCTCCGATAAAAAGTAGATATGCAGAGCAAAAGTTTAATTCTTTGGACTATAGGAAAAACTTTCACTGCAACTACCAATATTTTCTTAACTAAAAAGTTTGTTTAATTTCATATGTAATTATGCAATAATCTTTATTGTAATATCTATCTAAGGTTGTACTTTGTGCAGCATATTTAAATATCTTGACAGAAAGAAGACTCCTAATTCATTTTTATGATATTTGAATGTACAATGTATGACTGTGCTTGCTGTATTATTTAATCTATAACATTATAAAGTTACATCATGTTCATGTACATCATTCTACATACTACTTACCACGTGTTCTTTCTCATTTTATAATCATGTATGACGTCTTTACACTAAATCCATTGGATGTTGGATGTGTGCAGATTGATTTTTTAGGCTTAGATGCATGATTTTTTTAACTACTTGTTATTGGCTTTGAACTAGCTGTCAGTAACTACCAGTTCTCTCAGATGTGTACTTTAGGTCTTTTTTGTTGTAAGGATGTACAAATACCCTGCCACGTCCAGTCTGTGTTTTTGTTAGATGTCTTTCTGCTTTGTATCGATCTGATGAGTTATTATGTTGTACTGTTATATGACAGGGGGAGGGTCTGGCGCCAACAAACTAGTTTAACCCCGCCACATACTGTATGTGCCTGTCCCAAGTCAGGAGCCTGTAACTCAGTGGTTTTTGTTTGTTGCTGTGTATCATATTTGTTTTTCGTTTTATTTTGCACATAAATCAGGCTGTTAGTTTTCTTGAATTGTTTTACCTTTGACATTTCAGGGTCTTTTATAGCTGACTATGCTCATTGTTGAAGGCCGTACAGTGACCTATAATTATTAACTTCTATATCATTTGGACTCTGGTGGAGAGTTGTATCATTGGCAATCATACCACATCTTCTTATTTTTATATATATGATTATTATGTTCCATATAACCAATACCAGTATTAGTAAAACCATTTTTTTTCTTTTTCAAGGACTAGAAGTTGATAACAAAATGTTACCTTCCATGAGGTCAATTATATATTTTTTTTTGTCAGGTTGATTTTTGAGGCTTGACCGGACAACAGCAAACAAACCTATTTTTATTTTATGCCTCATAACTTACATTTCTGTACTAAAGTGTCTGGATCACATTGACACCCTATCCATCTATTGATAAATCAGACAAAAATTTGAAAGAATTTAAGAATTCCAGGGGCCAGATGGAAGGCTTTTATCATATCTCCTTTTTTTAAAAACTTTTTTACGTACCTTTTGGGAGACGGTAGCTACTCTCTGATGTATTCAGATGTTGGTGAATTCCATTGTGATCATGTTCATCAGCATGCTCTAAACCCATCAACATGAACAGAAACCCAGGACAAAAGTTAACAAACTGGTTCCTTGTTATACCAGCTGTATATCCATACTCATGTAACATACTGTCAACATTGTATTCTTCCTAAAAATTTAAAGCCAACATTTTCTCTTTTACAAAAGTTTTTACATTGTAAAATTTCAAATTATAATTTTATAAAAATAACTGACAGTCATTATTGTGTGATGTACAAATCGTTATCATAAAATTTGAACCAAGGGGACATTAAGTCTGATGATACAACGTACAAATGTACATTGTCACCCTTTTTAAGTAAAGGATCCCATTTGATTAAATCAGTGGCGGATCCAGAAATTTTCATAAGTGGGGGCCCACTGACTGCCTAAGAGGGGGCCTGCTCCAGTCATGCTTCAGTGATTCCCTATATAATCAACCAAATTTTTCCCACAAAAGGGGGGGGGGGGGGGGGGGGGGCCCGGGCCCCCTAGGCCGCCCCCTAAATCAGCCTCTGTAAATGTCAAATGTAACTTCAGAGAAAGTTAAGGATGTTAAGTATGCAAGCCTATAAGATAATTTATGATTTATGTAAATAATTTATATATACATGTATATCAATTCAAATACCTACGAGCAAGTTATTTTATACAGTATTTAAGTTTTCTATCATCCTGATCACCAAATATTGCATATAAATTACAAATTGTACTCTTTTATCATTTTTCTTTGAAGATTAGAATTGATAAAAGAAGAATTTAATCATTCATATAAAATATCCGATTATTTCATTACCACATATATAATATATACATATACATTGTAATATTATAAATGTCTCTTTTAAAATAATATTAGTGTCCAATATTACTACATTTTGAACATTATGTTACACAATGCAAATACTCACTTTAACAGAACTTTCATTTTTTGAAATAATTTTCAAATATCTTTTATCTTTATTCCTGGGAGTCTGATCTTCCTCTTCTGAATGTTTGTGCTCATTTTCAAAGTGATTGTGATGATGGTCTTCGCTGTGATCATGATCTTTATCAACATGGTCAACTTTAAAACCTAACTGTGTTAACATTTTGTCCAGTCCATCATGTGTCAACACACCTTTTTCATTACCAAAATCTTCAAATAACTTAGAAATAAAATATTGCCTCTTTACAAGTCTCTCGTGTTCTGACGTATTACTTGAGTTCTGAGGAATGATCTGTTTCAGTGTTTCTTCGTTTGGTTTGATAGGTTTGGGGATGACTTTATCATACAATTTGTTTTGCTCAGTTTCTTTACAACTTCTTTGTTCAGGTAAAAAGGACAGCAAAAATAGTGATAGACATACAAAACATAGTTTTGAGGAACACATCTGGAATAAAAAATTACATCATTATTGAAATCCCATTAATGTGTGTTTAAAAAGAAAGATTCCTCAAATGTACCACTTAACAACTATTGAAAATTTATCTTTTTTGACCAATCTTATTATTTTCATTTTTTCCAAAAATATGCTTGTTCCAGGTTTTCCCACCTAGTTATCATCGTCGTGTATCATGTGTATATATATATATATTGTTCAATTACCTCTGTGTACATTTCAAGTCAACAGTACTGTTGGCTTATGTAATGCATCTAAGCTTTAAGCATTTGAGTAATTGTGTGTGATGATCGAACTACTAGACTCCTAAGTATATAATGATTTAGGGATAAATTAGGATAAATATTTTATCTTTTCAATTTTACACAATGTATGAACATTTTTATGAACACGATTTTATTTATTACCAGTATAATACACAAATATAAAAAAATGAACTAAAATGTAACCATCCCTCTTTTTATGATGCAATGTCAGATAGAAGGCTAATTTGCTTGATTTACAAGTGTTTTTAATAAGCTACATCTACTACATTTTGTAACGGTTACCCTTAAGGAGGATCCTATATATTTTTAGCCTATAGACATGATAGACATTTTTTGGGGTCTCATTTCCAATATTCTTCTTACATACTTTTTTCCAGGAGAAATCAATAAGCAATAATAGTTATTTATATCCAATGTCTTAGGCCCTGGATGGATTTTCAAGATGTAACATTATTTAAAGTGAAAACATTCAGCAGAAAGTTATAGGGAATCGGGTTGGCCTGAGGCGATTTGGCACACTGGGGCAAGTTTGTCTTGCATTCCAGGTATCTTCTTCTTCTTTAGGCTTTCAGTAGACCTTCAATTATCTGAGGATTATTTACTGTTTTCAGCAGCTTCACTGGCCTTTACATGTATATAAACATTTTTGTATTTACAAGAATACAAAAATGATTGAAAATGAATTTGTAGTGCATAACTTTTTAAAATTGTGATTAAAAGATGATGCAATGTAGTATAATCAGTTTGTTTAAGTTGTTGATTGTGTGCAATATCCTGCAAATTGCAAAAAAAAACATAGCAATGAATGTTGTTTTCCACATCTTTCCACCAAAAATGAATCTTCCATGCTTAAAATATTATTTGGAATAAAATGTATACGCACATGTACAGCTGTACAGCGTGCGTCACATAATTTACACTACAGAAGTCAACTATCAAGCTGTTGACATTTAGAAGATATCACTTGATTTGCAACAATTAAAACATTTCATGTGTGCCATTGACTTTTATTTTAATAATATATATGTGAACGGCAAAATACCAGTAATTGTAATTTAACTTTATTTGAAAGGAGGAGGATAATTTCTGTATGACGCAATGTTAAAACCTGATGTTGAAGCGGTTCCTTTGACTTTGTTTATTTACATTAAATTCTGTATACTGGGACTGTACTGATCTGTACTTACTGCACGCTTAAAACCTTCCCATTTCGTTTCCCATGTCGTAAACTTACCGTAATTTTCGGTCCGTGTGCAAACTTTACCATGTGAAGACAAACACTGGCTGCTTCACCTTTTGGGACAATCGTAACTACTCGGCCATTCTCGCTATGCCTATTGTAGGCGTAGCGGGAATAGCCGAGTAGTTACGATTGCTTTCGGAAGTTTTCTTCGTTAGGATTCGCCAATCGCTAAATGATCGGTATATTCCGTACTGTAGGTATATGTGTAGTTCATTCATGTGTAAATTTTCTTTTTCTTTTCTTTGTATTATACCCGACTATTGTTTTTTGTTTGTTGTTGTTTATTAATGTCTTATATTGCATTATGCTCTTTGTGAGCCCATTTATTGGAATTAAAACATCTTCATTATATTGATGATCATTGATTGTTAGTTCCTCTACGTCAAGTGGCAAATATTTCGTGCATGATCAGGACGGAGGGGTTTAGCACAGGTACTTGTTTCTGATTTTTTTTTACATAATTATACCTTATTATTAATGTGTTAATAGGAGTTTCTTGGTTTTTATGGTGTTACTGTACAGGTATATTGATATGTTTAAAAGCTTAAATGTAACTGTATTCAATCAGAGTATTATATGTCTCTGTTATAATTATGTCTCTGATATAATGTACATATTATTTAACCTAAATTAATCCCATTGGGAGTGCCCTTAGAAAGGGTGAACCTACCAGACAGGTAACAGGTAACAAGTATAGTAGAGATTTCCAATAAAATGACATACGTACGTAACTCGACGTACGGACCTAATGGGACTGGTTGTTGCCAACCATTGAATTTGATTAAATACGTCGCTCAAGTTTGAACAAAGTTTTCCAAGACTTTCAAAATCATACACTGGAATTTTCGTTCATATCAAATAATTTTAACATGATGAAAAATGAAAGAAATCATGCATTTTTATTTAACACGTACGTGGTTCTCCAGATTCCCGCCTTATTTTTTTACTGTCATAAGATCACGTATAAACACACATATCCCTTACCTATCATACGATCGATTTTAGTTATCATTCCTTATTTCAATTATGACAATTGTTTTTTAATATACTTTGCAGATGAACGCTACACTATTCTATATTTCACATGGGTTGATTTATCCAATGTTCTTTCTTTCTTTCTTTTTCTTCCTATCTATTTATTTATATTTTTTTGTGAGGATAACATTTTTAGAAGGATATTTTTCTGACAATTTTATATATGTCGAAATCAGTGTTTTGTTCATTGTTGAAGGCCGTACGGTGACCTATAGTTTTTAAGCTCTATGTCATTTTGTCCCTGGCAGAAAGTTGTCTCATTGGCAATCATACCACATCTTCTTAGCTTTATATTTGTTAGAATTTGCCTCTTTATAAAAGTGAGAATTGAGATAAAACTATTGCTTCCATCTAATTTCTAAATAAAAGTATTTTCCATTTATTATAAAATGTATAGATAAAAAATTCGCTATATAAATTTTATCTTAGGAGGTGTGACCATTAAGGATTGTTCTGTGTTGTTTTGTTTAACGGGAATGCTATAGGAGTCCAAATACAAAAACAAGTAGAGGGTCAAGGAATTTGTTTTTACTGAATAAATCATTGAAGTGGATGTGTTTGGCAAGAATCAGAGAAAAACAAAAAAATACAAAAAAAGATTTCGATGCCAGATGCTGATCCAGCATTTTGAAAGGGGGCAAAGGTTTTGAATGGAACATGTAAAAATTCTAGGCATTATCCATAAATGTAGCTCTATAAAGGGTGGCCGGGCCCCCTGACCCCTTTCCCCATAAATTTTCATTACCAAAATCTTCAAATAACTTAGAAATAAAATATTCCCTCTTTACAAGTCTCTCGTGTTCCGACGTATTACTTGAGTTCTGAGGAATGATCTGTTTCAGTGTTTCTTCGTTTGGTTTGATAGGTTTGGGGATGACTTTATCATACAATTTGTTTTGCTCAGTTTCTTTACAACTTCTTTGTTCAGGTAAAAAGGACAGCAAATATAGTGTTAGACATACAAAACATAGTTTTGAGGAACACATCTTGAATAAAAAATTACATCATTATTGAAATCCCATTAATGTGTGTTTAAAAAGAAAGATTCCTCAAATGTACCACTTAACAACTATTGAAAATTTATCTTTTTTGACCAATCTTCATGATCTTATTATTTTCATTTTTTCCATAAATATGCTTGTTCCAGGTTTTCCCACCTAGTTATCATCGTCATGTATCATGTGTATATATATATTGTTCAATTACCTCTGTGTACATTTCAAGTCAACAGTGCTGTTGGCTTATGTAATGCATCTAAGCTTTCATTGAAGCAATTGAGTAATTGTGTGTGATGATCGAACTACTAGACTCCTAAGTATATAATGATTTAGGGATAAATTAGGATAAATATTTTATCTTTTCAATTTTACACAATGTATGAAAATTTTTATGAATACTATTTTATGTATTACCAGTATATACACAAATATAAACTAGAGGCTCTCAAGAGCCTGTGTCACTCACCTGTATTTGCTGATGCTTTGGAAATCATGTAAAATAAGGTTAAAATCATAATTAATAGTATTAGATATTAGATATTATAATGATATCTAAGATAATAACAAATAACTGCAAAATTTCTGTAAAATTACTAACTAATAACGGGTTGTTGGATTCATCTGAAAATTTCAGGGCAGATAAATCTAAATCTGATGAACATTTTTGCTACCTGTCAGATTTGCTCTAAATGCTTTAGTTTCAAAGATATAAACCAAAAACTGCATTTTACCCCTATGTTCTATTTTTAACCATGTCGGCCATGATGGTTGGAAGGCAGGGTCATCGGACAAATTTTTAAAACTAGATACCCTAATAATGATTATGGCCAAGTATGGTTAAATCTGTCTCAGTAGTTTCAGAGAAGAAGATTTTTGTAAAAGATTACAAAAATTTTAGAAAAATTGTTAAAAATTGACTATAAAGGGCAATAACTCCTAAAGGGTTGACTGACAATTTAGGTCATGGCAACTTATTTGTAGATCTTACTTTGCTGAACATTATTGCTGTTTACAGTTCATCTCTATCTATAATAATATTCAAGATAATAACCAATAAAAACTGCAAAATTTCCTTAAAATTACCAATTCAGGGGCAGCAACCCAACAACGGGTTGTCAGATTTGTCTGAAAATTTTAGGGCAGATAGATCTTGACCTGATAATCAGTTTTATCCTTGTCAGATTTACTCTAAATGCTTTGGTTTCAGAGATATAAGCCAAAATCTACATTTTACCCCTATGTTCTATTTTTAGCCGTGGCGGCCATCTTGGTTGGTTGGCGGGGTCATCAGACAAATTTTATAAACTTGATACTCTAATGATGATTGTGGCCAAGTTTGGTTTAATTTGGCCCAGTGGTTTCAGAGGAGAAGATTTTTGTAAAAGTTAACAGACGACAGACGCCAAGTGATGAGAAAAGCTCACTTGGCCCTGTGGGCCGGGTGAGCTAAAAATTGAACTAAAATGTAACCATCCCTCCTTAGATAGAAGACTAATTTGCTTGATTTACAAGTGTTTTTAATAAGCTACATCTACTACATTTTGTAACGGTTATCCTTAAGGAGGATCCTATTTATTTTTAGCCTATAAACATTTCTTGGGGTCTCATTTCCAATATTCTTCTTACATGGTTTTTCCAGGAGAAATCAATAAGCAATAGTAGTTATTTAAATCCAATTTCTTTGGCCGTGGATGGATTTTCAAGATTTAACGTTATTTAAAGTGAAAAGATGTATATTTTTCGCAGAATTTTTCATACATTTATAGACATAGTTTACAACTTTTTAGTTGACTGTATCTCTTGAAGAATAAAAATTACGGGTCATTTTTTTCAATATTCCAATGCAGTTCAATAAGTTCTAAATGGAAACAAAATTTTATCCAAAATCAATATACATGTATCACCCGATTACCAGTACTTTGCCTGAACTCGTTTCATTTCCATTATCTTGCACATAAGGGAGCTACCATTTGATTTTTATGGGGGGACTTGGATGAAAAATTTTGTCCTGCAAGTTTTTTAGTTGTAATCTCTGTCCTGCCTTTTTATTTTTCACTCTATTCGGTCCTGCCTTTTCTTTTTAAGTTTATCCTGACTTTTTTTTACCTAAATTGTCATCCTGACTTTTTTTTTGGTAAGTGTCTCATCCTGCCTAAGCTTTGCATTTCTTCATCAAGTTCTTTTTTTATCAAAGGTGAAAAAGTACCTAAATAAATACCACAATTATATACATGTAATTATAAATGTTACACTAAAAGTTCACAGGCATTGCATTCTATCTTTTTATTAGTGGCAGAGTAAGCAGGCCTTAATTTAGTGGAATTTAACTCTTTTTCATTTTGGGGAAAGATGGCAGGTCTTCATTCATCAGGATTTAAATCCGGGGGGGGGGGGGGGGGGTTAACATGAATACTTTTTAAAATTGTGATTAAAAGTTATGATGCAATGATTAATGTGCGTCACATAATTTACCCTACAGAAGTCAACTAACACACTGTTGACATTTAGAAGATATCACAATTAAAACATTTCATTTGTCCCATTGACTTTTATTTTAAGAATATAAATGTGATCTGCAAAATACCAGTAATTGTAATTTAACTTTATTTGAAAGAAGAAGGATAGTTTCTGTATGACGCAATGTTAAAACCTGATGTTGAAGCGGTTCCTTTGACTTTGTTTATTTACATTAAATTCTGTATACTGGAACTGTACTGATCTGTACTTACTGCACGCTTAAAACCTTCCCATTTCGTTTCCCATGTCGTAAACTTACCGTAAATTTCGGTCCGTGTGCAAACTTTACCATGTGAAGACAAACACTGGCTGCTTCACCTTTTGGGACAATCGTAACTACTCGGCCATTCTCGCTATGCCTATTGTAGGCGTAGCGAGAATAGCCGAGTAGTTACGATTGCTTTCGGAAGTTTTCTTCGTTAGGATTCGCCAATCGCTAAATGATCGGTAAATTCCGTACTGTAGGTATATTTATATTTATACTGCACTCGTTCTATTTGAGCAGTCAAAATGCGTTGACCGTATATTTCTATGTCATATACAGTCACTGAC